CTGGTGCACGGAGACGGAGCGAGGCCGTCGATCCCGCGCCCGTACGCGCGCCCGCGCCGATCGATTATCCGCATCTCGATTTGCGCGCACCGCCGCCTGCCGCTGCTACGCGGCCTGGGCACGCTTACTCGCCATCATTACCGGCTTTACCTGCGTCTGCATTACCTTCGCACCCTTCGCAACCGCCGCAGCTCAACGGGCACATGCTCAAGGGTCCCCCCGAAGCCCCGCTCCTTCCGGCAATACACAACGTGGTGTACTGGGACAGCAGCGAGATCGGGATGAGCGGGCTCAAGAACATGGGCAATACGTGCTATATGAACGCGACGGTGCAGTGTCTGAGCGCCACGGCGCCCTTTGCTGCGTTCTTCAGGGACGGGTCGTGGATGAAGGCCGTGAACCATGTGAATCCGCTCGGCACGAAGGGGCAGGTCGCGCATGCGTTTAGTAAGCTGGTGAGGGAGCTGTGGGGGATGGGGCAGAGTTTCTTGACGCCGACGGATTTCAGGGTGCGTCTCAGTTTCCCTTTCTTCTCTGCCTGCGCGGGCGCTGACGATGATATGGTGCAGAGATCGATATGCCAGCTCGCATCGCAGTTCGCGGGGAGCGAGCAGCATGACAGTCAAGAGTTCCTCAGTTTCCTGATGGATGGCCTACACGAGGATCTGAACCGCGTTCTGCATCGGCCTTCGGTTGACCGGACACCAGAGGAAGAGGCAGCGCTGGAGAGGTTGCCGCCGCAGATCGCGTCGCATAAGGAGTGGGCGGTCTACAGGATGCGGAACGATTCGATCGTTGTGGATTGGTTCCAGGGTCAGTTCAGGAATCGGTTGACGTGCTTGACGTGCTCGACGGTGCGTCTTCTTCATTGGTGGATGCGTGAATGGAATGCTGATGTGTGTTGCGATAGACGAGTACGACGTACAACGCGTTCATGTACCTCTCGCTGCCCGTGCCGAACAAGATGATGAGCAAGATCACCTTGTCGCAATGCCTGGACGCCTTCGTCGCCGAAGAGGTCCTCGAGAAGTCCGACGCATGGTCCGTACTCCCTTCCCTCTCCCCCCTCTTCTTCCACTCATCATTTCACGCATACAGGTTCTGCCCCCACTGTAAACAAAAGCGCAAAGCCAAGAAACAGCTCACCCTCTCCCGCCTGCCCCCCGTCCTCCTCATCCACCTCAAACGCTTCAGCGCCAAAACGCACTTCACAGACAAAGTCGACAAGCTCGTCGACTTTCCCCTGCGCAACCTCGACCTCTCATCGTACGTGCCCTACGCCACGCCCCAGTCCTCGTTCGCGCCCAACGCGAATACGGGGCTGCCGCAGGAGGACAGGAGCGACCCGCGCGCGCAGGTCCCGCCGTTTAAGTATGACCTTTATGCGGTGACGAATCATTTTGGGAGCTTGAGTAGTGGGCATTATACGGCGTTTGTGAAGAGTAGGGATGAGTGGAGGTATTGCGATGATAGTCGGATTTCGAGGGCGGAGGAGAAGGACGTCGTGGTGCGTTACCATCTTTCAGTCCCAGTCGGCTCGAGTATAAGGAACTGACGAGCGTCTTTTCAGGGTAAGCCTGCGTACGTGCTGTACTATAAGAGGGTGCGCGCATAGTCGATGGCGCGCTGAGACCCTAGATCTACGTTATATTGGAATTCTTTTTTTTTGCTTTGTATTCTTCGGTTCGACTCGGTGTTCATTGCTACTTACCCATGAACTATTTTGTGCATCTGTGTACCCACACCATGCATCTATCTATCGCTACTACTTATCTACGCGTAGTTCTACCGTTGTGTTTTGTTTGTTTATGGATTGGATGTATCCCCCGCGGGCAGCGGGTGTTTTCTCCGTGTGGTTCGAGCGCTTTCGGAGTTTTGATCCGATCAAAGATTTCGGGGTTGCGCCGCGCGCGCGCCTCCGCGGTCGCCGGTCGACGAGTTGACCTCGACGTCCACCGCGCCCCTCAGCGCGTTTGCACAGCGTCGCAGAGTGCCGCTCAGAAGAATAATGTGCTCATGTACTACTCTATGTTCAGCATCTTCGAAATGTGCAGCGATCGATACGCCTCTTCCTATGCCAGCCGGGTCCGTGACGACCAACCTACACCTACCCAGCAGCAAACCAACGTTGCCAGCCTGTACTCCGGCTCGAAGTATGCTCCTCGAATCCTGCACAACCTTGCAAAGCTCGCAGAAGAGCTGCAGTCGGAATATCCCTGCGCCGGACCTGCGGACTGCAATTCCGTCGTGCTTCTCGAAGCAGGGTGCATCATACAATGCTACACTACTCTCGTCTACTAAGAGCGCTCAGAGGTAAAACGGTGGAGTGATCTGCTGATGCGGGTAGGCATGCACGCTGCAGAGTATATATATATGCGGGCGAACTTGCTGGACGCCGTCATCAACGCCGTGCCCTTCAGCGGGGTGCGATATATATATTTACGAGGGAGCGTCGGCGCGACGCTGTCTTCCCAGTCATGTCGGACAGTATCACTGTGACTCCTGAGAGTCTGGACGGTCTACGAATCAATGCATTTCTTGTGCTTCTTCTTGCCGCTCTTTACTGTGCGTTACACGGCCAAACCTGCGCGCCGGACAATGAAGCTCACGAATCCCCGAGTACAGGTTTCCTTTTATCTGCGGCATTCATAGCCATATACTCCCTCTTGTAAGCCTCACCGCTTCTCGTGTACATGTGAGACCGGAGCTGACACTGGCATAGGAAGGACGGCATCCGGTCTCTACAGAGCAAAGTCAATCTGGCCGCTGTCACTGTGATGACTACCCTCACGACAGTGTACACCATAGTCACGATTCTGCAACTCTGGGGCAACTTTGACCGTCTCGGAGTCAAGGATCAGTCTCTGAGCTCTTTCGACACCGACGTCACCGTCGTCGGCGGGAGGCTTGAGTTCGCGGTTTTTGCTATCAATGTGCGTGTGCTGGACGTTTTCGTTTACCTACCGTGTTCTCATCCGGCGTACGTTTCTAGGTCATTCTTGGAGACGTCATCATTTTATGGTGCGCGCTTACCAAGACTGTGTACAATGGGATCTGATGTGTGATAGGCGAGCCAATGTGATCTGGTCGTGGCGACGGCGCATTGTATATCCGTCAATCGTCTTGCTCTGTATCACAACCGGTCCGTCGGCCATCGACGTACTTCATCGCGTTGACTTGCTGACAGGCCTCGTTATCAAGTTTTGTGGATTCTGGCCGGCATCTGGGGCTCATCCGCGATAGCAATCCCAGCATCGTTAGCGACGAGTCTGTGGGCCACCATCGTCGTCTCGGTCAAAGCTTGGTGTGTTCTCTCTAGCCTCATTTTCTTTGCATGCGCTGACCTACCGGCAGGCAACGCCGATCCATGCTTCGCAAGAAGGTCGCCATCATGTCGCGGCACAATGCCCTAGAGAACGTCTTTAACATTCTCACTGAGTCAGGCATCGTGTTCACTCTACTATGGGTACGCTCTCCCTTCGTGTATTCATGAGCTTGTCATGGCTCACTCCATTCTCTCAGGTCATTTGTCTCATTGCCAGTGAGGCGGTCTATAACGTGGTCTTCGCCGAGGTTATGACAATCATCATGATCGTCGCTGCGGTACGTGCCCATCCCGAGTGGACCACCTATCATGACCTTGACATGCTCTCTGTAGCCGCTCTACCCCACCATGGTCGTCATCCTCGTCGCGCAAAACAAGACCCCGATCAGCAATCAGCTCACCACGATTGAGCCTATCACTATTCTGGACCCCGAAGTTGGCGATCTCCTGGATCAAGGCAGTAACATCAGTAAAGACAACATGACGTTGGACGACCTTCGTCGTTGAGATTGGGACGGTCGGCGTTTGGGACGGGCGTGACCTCGACGGTACAAGAGGACGATGAAGTCAGGATGTGAAAGGCGGCGAACGAATAAAACTCTTCCATATATATTAGCCGACCATACTACAATACAAGGCGCCATGTAGGATGTAATGAGCGCTGTGTCTCAGTCTAAAGTCCACAGTGCATAATAATCGATCGTGTTCAATCAACGAAGGAGTCGCCTAAGCTTCGCATCCTCATCACCCAGCCCATCTTCACCCGGTCCTCACTTGCGAATCATGTCGTACGGGTTGAACTCAGGACGGACTATGTCGACCACCGTCTCCTGTGGGAGAAACTCCATACGCTCGGCGTCGGCGACCGTGATGGGCTCAATGCTGGTGAGCTTCGAGTCCTCGAGTTCTGACCTGTGTAGCGCGACCACGATGACTATCGTCATAGGGTATAGTGGCTTCTTTCCGTCGTCAGCAAGTCTACCAACTATGAGATAGCATGGGTGCAGACCGCAAAAATGGTCATGATATCGGACATCACAACACTATATGTAGTGTGTTCGGCTGAAGGTAGTTGGGATGGGATGTAGACTCCCTAACGGCATGCCTTGTCAGTACCAGTATGGCAAGGGTTTCAGGCATTCACGCACCCAGAGTATGGTGTATACAATCCCTGTCTCTGTCAAGATCGTTACGATGCTCTCGAATGCGCTCCGCCGAGATACCATAGCGATCTTGCTGCGTAGCATCGTGCGATGGTGCCTGAAATATTGGTCTCAGTCCATAGGGCGTTACTCTACAATGCTGCTGAAGAGACAAATCACCATGCCAATGCGGTAACGGCAATGGTTGCGGCAAGACTCGTTGTGAGAGTGACAGCCTGCGCCGCGATCCAGAAGCTGTAGTGTTTGCCTAGAATCCACTGAGCGGGGGTGATCAGCAAGCAGTGGGTGGGAAGAGAGATAGATCCATCCACCGCTACTCCTTGAAAGAGGATGACAATAGCACACGTAAACATCACCCAGCGAGGCCACGCACAAAGCATGGCCGCGCGCCTGTGATTAAGTCATTCCCCAGACCGTATACAAGTCTATTAAGTACTTACCACAAGATGATGGCATCTCCTATAGTGACCTTCGGGACCGTCAGTGATAGTTTGAGTGTTTGCAAAAGACAGCTAGTGAGAAACTTACGGTTGTAGAGAACGCCGCGTATGCAATGTTGTTGACAACGTTCGCGGTCTGGGCGAACTTCGTGCTCCCAGTCGGATCCAGAAGAGCATCAAAACTCCCTCTGAGGTAAAGCGCGTCCGAGACGATATACACTGTCGTCAATACAAACATCACGGTGACGGCTCCTAGGTGTACTTTGCTTAGGTTCGAACGCAAGCCGCCCCTCCTAATCGAGTGAATATTGGGACTCAGGTAGACGCAAAGTGGAAGACGAGCCCACCATAGACAATACAACACGGCGAGATATACTGAAGCTAGGAGAGCTGTGACATCCTGTATGTCAGCGTGCAGATGGTTTGAAGAGCCATTATGCTCACCATAGAGGCCGAAGAGTAGGAGGCTTTCAGTTGCAGCCATACGCTGGGCTTCAATGAACTCCACCGTCACTATGACCTCAAGCTCCGGGTCAACGGTCACGTTCATCCGCACCATTGCCGGATTCGGCCGCTGAACGTCGCGTTTATGAGGTGGGCGGTCGGAAGCAAGACGCTCGCGACAGGCCAGTCCACTTTAAATAGCTCGGTCGAGAGAGCTGTGAACAGAAGGCAGGCTCGCCAGGCTCACCTCCTCCCGCGTTACCCGAGTCTCAAGATCTTCTCAAGCGGAAAGAGGCCGGCTGAACATGTGTGTATCGCCAGGCGAATGGGCACCATACATCCACAACGTTTTCACGGAGGAAATCGGCACCGCGAGGTGGCACTGGCAGGTTGAGTATCAATAGCAGGCTGGCGATTGCACTAGGCCAAAGCGATGGAGAGAGCCGGGAACGTATGAGGCCGGCACTGGCGCTCCATTCTTGACTCGCGTTCAAACGAGTGTATGCCGACGATCTATAGTTTCATCGCTTTGGTAAGGGCGTCACGGCCGCAACAAGGATCCACGGTGTAGTAGCGGCCGGGAAGAAAGTTCACACATGCTGTGCGTGGCGCATGCGCCTAGCACAGGGTGAGCGCTGAGCGCTTGTGTCACGAATCGATGATCGTGTTAGGGATGTCTGCCTTATGAGTTGTTCTGGCTCATTGATTCAACTGGGTCAAGAAGTAAGACTGGGTTCAGCAGCGATGTACGCGTGCTCGAAGGCGTTAATTATAACGTTGAGACATAGTACGAGTCGGGATCACGAAGGGACCTGACTAGGACACTTGATTGCAAGTTAGAGCATGTCACTTAGGTTGGGATAAGCTACGTACCATCATCACACCGCCATGCTGATACCCATATGTCGCGTCACTAGTTTCCCTGCAGTGGAGGTGCCACTGCACATCGAAGGACTGGTTCATGTCGCGTGCCAACGAGCTGCGCAGCGACCAGAGAGCCGGTGATAGCCGACGCGTCAACAAACGCGGTTCTGTACTTCGCTCCCGACCACCAGGTGCATTCACGCAATTGCTTTCAGACGTAACACCGTATGGACGCCCGCGACTTTGGTCCGCCATTTATAGCCGCCGACGCGGACATCATCCTGCGCTCGACCGATAATGTCGACTTCAAAGCCCACCGACAGATCCTGCGCATAGCGTCGCCGATCTTCGCGGACATGTTCGCGCTACCCGAGGCTTCTCCCAGAGTAGTTGCTGAGCAAGGCATATTCATGCTTGACGAAAGGAAGGATGGCCTTGTCGTCGTATACATGCCAGATGACGAGAAGGCGCTTCACTTGCTTCTTTTCTACTGTTACCCCCTCCTCGAACCTATCCCCGCCATCGATAGCATCGAAGACCTCGCCGTTGCCGCTCGCATTGTGAACAAGTACCGACTGTCACGTCGTCCCGAACACGCAGACTTGCTTCTCCGCTTCGTGAAACAGTCGCCGCACCGAGCGTATGCAATGGCCATCACATATCGCATGCCGTTTGCCGCACGCAAGGCTGCGCGAGAGACGGTAGCGCTCCGCGACGAGCCGGCGGAGCTCTCCCCCGAGTTTCACTCCTTGACAGCTTACGACGTACTACGGCTCGAGAACTTCCGCAAGGAGTGCATCCAGGAGATGAAAGTGATCATGAAGGATTTCAACTGGATGACTCGCGCCGAGTTCCCTTTCGCGACCCGTCCCGAAGCCAACGCCGCTGTGCACGCTGTGCACGCTGGTCCCGGCGGTGGCAATACTGGAGAGGTCTTTTGCGGGAACCCCGCATGTCCTTCCGGCAACAGTCAGGGCATGTATATGATCATTGTATTGCGGAACGGGGTAAGGATCGTGTGCAAGCCCTGGTTGGAGACGTATCTGCGTACGCTTGTTCGCGACTTCGTAGCTCGTCCGGACATATCGGTGGCAACGGACTTCAACACTATACTTCCTGCATACCTAGCGGCGGCCAACTGCGAGCGGTGCACTAACGCCGTGAAGGTGTCCCTGCCGACGTTCGGCAGCAAGATAGCTGCTAAGCTTCAGGCGGTCATAGACAGCGTACGTCAGACTTTCTCTGTGGTGCTCTTGACTTTAAGACTGACCTTCCTACGCAGAAGAACATAGAGTTACCCTTCTGACGTATGATCCGGGCTCGGGAAGGCTGTGCTGGTGAGGGTCTTCAACGATTGAACAGTGCCTTGTATTGACGCGCGCCTCGATGGTCAATAGGTCGGAACTATGTCGTGCTTTGCTGGACTCTGGCATAGAGGTGCAGAAAATTCATGTATAGGTGTATACAGTGGCTCCATATACTCAATCGACCTTGCACGTCTGTGCGCACAGATGTGCGATACCGCACATCGACCACACACATCGCATCCGATGCGTCGCCAGCATTGTCGTCACTATATTGTTGTGTTGACCAAATGGTGCCACTTTCATGAGGCTCGTATCCTGACTCGATCTCGTGGCATGTATTGTGTTCAGATCGCTGCTGATATGGAGGCATACAGTGGCCTCATTAGTCGCCGAGAAGCCCGACCCTTCAAGGCGCTGTCACGGAGTGGATCTCTCTTCGTGGATCACATCGCTCGGCCGTACCGGCGATGCGCCGCCTGCCACAGGACAGCTGACCGAGAACCGTATTTTGCGTTGTACGCGACGCGTCCGACAGTTGCTCGCCTCCGCGTCTGTCAGTTGAACCGAGACAGGCGAGCGGTTTAAAAGGAGGATGCCTAACTTTCCTTGCAGCCAGCGTCGACACCCGCCTTGCCTTACCCTTCAATATCCGCTTCAACCCCAGCCATCTTCGTCGCCATGAAGTCCTTCGCCGCCGCCTCTTTGCTCGCCTTCGTCGCCGCCGCTACTGCGCGCCCCTTCTCCCTCTTCAAGCGTGATGGACCCACAGGTATTACTGACCAACATCACCTCTCTCAACATTGCAACTCACTGATCTATCCTCCAGACGTACAGGTCTTACAGTTCGCGCTCACGCTTGAGCACCTCGAGAATACTTTCTATAGCGGTGCTCTTCAGAAGTTCTCAGACGATGACTTCACCAAGGCCGGCTTCGAGTCATTCACCCGTGGTCGCTTCACGCAGATCGCAGCGCACGAGGCCAGCCACGTCCAGTTCTTGTCAAGCGCCCTCGGCGATGGGGCTACCAAGCCGTGCACCTACAACTTGTGAGTTGATCGCGTCTGTATCGCTTGTCGAAAGACGCTGATGTCAAAGTCTTCTACAGCCCGTACACGGACGTCAAGAGCTTTGTTGACTTGAGCGCTACTCTCGAGCAGGTTGGCTCTTCTGCGTACACCGGAGCAGCCAAGTACATTTCAAACAAGGACTACTTGACTGCCGCGGCTACGGTCTTGTCGACTGAGTCGAGGCATTCTGCCTGGGTTGAATCGGCCGTTCGCCACGGGTCTGCGTGGGGTTCCGCGTACGAGGTACATGCTCTCGTACCGTATCATTGACACCTATTCACTCTCTTGCCAGACTCCGCTCGACTTGAACTCGGTCTACACGCTTGCGTCCCAGTTCATCACGTCCTGCCCGAGCACGAACCCCACTCTCCCCGTCAAGGCCAACGGAAAGCTCACTACGACCGGCACCGGCGCTCCCGGCTCGCAGCTTACGCTTGCGTACGACGCATCGTCGACCAACGGTACCCTCTACGCCTCTTTCCTCACCGGTCCCAGCGCGGTCGTTGTTCCGTTGAGCGGCTCGAAGACGGAGTTCACTGTTCCGTCACAGGGTCTGGCCGGCTACACTTACCTTGTCATCACCACCGACAAGTCTGGTGTGGACGCTAACCAGACCGTTGCTGGTCCTGCCATCATCAATATCTCGCTCAACTCGCAGGGTCACTACGCGCAGGACCCTCTTTAAGCGATTGGGATGGCTCTTCGGCGTTTTCGGACTCTTTACTTACTCTACTTCGGACAGTATTCGTTCTCCTACTGTACTGACTGCTGTTATTGTCGTATACCACACTCATTTGGGCTTTGCAATATGATACCAAAAACGCGAGAAAATTTGCCGAAACTTGGCCGAGGCTGCGTACAAACGGATGTTCGGGCCGATAGTCACCGTGCGTTCCTCAAGCGTTCCGCAGACCGTGGTTGACTCCGACGGTCACGATCTCCTTTGACGCTCTTCTAGAATATCACATATTTTCAGACTGTCCGCGCTTCAGCATGACCTCTGCTTACGAACCGCAAGAAGAGGATGATGTAGCTCAGAGGCGGGCGCATAACGAGCGACAAATCGTGTCGCAAGTCATTCGCAGTGGCGTCTTCCACGACATCCTATCCTACCTTGCGTATACCTACCCTCCCGGACGTTCGAAGAAGGGACTCTTTCCCTTAGGATGGATCTACGCCACACACGTTTGTGCGAGTCTGCGATACTCCGCGCTCGAGACGTCGTCACTTTGGGCGCGGCACGTCTGCGCGTTTGGCACGGAGCACGTCTTCCGAGTGCTCTTGGATCGCGCTGGCTCCTTCCCCATCACTATCGATAATGTCCGGGATTACGCCCTGGACGAGTTTAGTCGCAGGGTGTACACCATCCCTGGACATTACTTCCGTGTCCTTACGCGAGCGGCGTCCATAAGCCTCATCGCTGGTCTTGAGCAGATAGGACAAGTTGCTCGCGAGTTATGCGGGCACGACGCACCATACCTGACGAGCCTCAAAGTGCACCGTTCACACTCTACATTTCCTCATTTCGTTCAAGCGACTCCTTTGGGGGTGCCACCTGAACAGGTTGGCCAGGTGTCGTATGATATCGCACCTCGGGCCGCGTTCAGCAAACTTCGGGATGCCGAGTTCATCAACACGTACATGCCCGTCCTCGGACGGAACCTCGTCTCTCTCAAGATAGCCGGAAAGTTGCGCGAGTCAGAGCCTACGGCGCGTCATATACTGTTCATGCTCCAAGGATGCGTGAGTCTAGAATCCTTGAGGCTTCAAGGGTTCACACGCGCGACACCTCTCGAGAGTCTGACCGTATCAGACGAGCAGACAACGTCCGTTCATCTTCCTCAGCTAAACGAGCTCGTGCTCGAGGCGCGCTCCGGCTTATTCCTAGCTTCTCGCCTCATTCACCCTCCACTGGAGGTCGCATCGGTGATACAGTATGGCGGCGAACTTGAAGAAACGACGACCAAGCATGTCAAAGCTGCTCTCTCATCCCTGCTTTGTGGAGGCGACCACATGCAGAGGACTACACGGGACAAGCTGAACGTGTACATCCTCAGATTCTACGAGCCATCCATGATGCCAGAATTCGGCTGCCTCCTCACCCTTCGCGCGTCCCCATCATGTATTGGCGATCAACGGATATTCAGCTACAATACCCCCAAGGAGCCACTCGGACTCTCTTCACCATATGCCGGCCCTGGAACGTCAGAGGCGCAGCTTACGATCTCTGTATCTGGACTTGACCCTGTTTACCAAACACAGCCTGGGGCAACGATGTTCCTTGAGGAGGTCTTTGCGGCACATAGAGCGCTATCTCCGGCGCTGCTGGGGGACATCGAAGTGGTGCACATCTCCATCCATCCCACTCGGGAAATCAACTGGCGCAAACTGCTCGCACCCTTCACCTCTGCTCACACCATCATCATGGCGTACGAGCAGCCGAGACTTGACGACAACGATGGGCTGGTCGACGTTCTCGCAGAAGCCTTCGGCGATAGCGTCCTCGTCTTACCTCGACTGGAGACGATCGTGACGGACAAGAAGGTCCCATGGAGACCTCGGGACTACCTGCGCTTCCGCGAGATGCTCAAAGCCCGCGCTGCGTGTGACTCCCCGGTTCGCACGGTTCGCAGTATGGCGGAAAGGGAGCCGCCGAATGCCCTGATGAAGAAGTATTACGATGATCTCGTTAAATTGACAGACTGAGATGTGTCCTAGATCGTTCTGTACACCTCTGAACCTGTAATACTGTACATTTGTTCGGAGCTGGTACTTATATAGCCCTCGTGGTCCTGTGATATCTGCCTCGTCATATGGCAATCTTAAGACCCCTTGTCACAGAATGTACTATCTGGCATGTTGACCCCTTACGTGGCTCAGTAAGCAAAGCCATGTCGGCGTGAGTTCGAAGCCAGGGTCGCTTGCAAATTGCGGCAATCCCCGAATAGCACGCACGGGCTCAGCTGACCTCGCTCTGTACACCCACTGTCGTCGACCCAGGTCACCCTCGAATAACACTCACGCACATCGCCTTCTTGCAGTCTTACAATGGCCACGGATGAGTTGGGAGAAGTGTCTACGACTGCGGCTGAGCCGTCACAGAACACTGCGATGGCGGCCGTCCAGAACGCTGGTCCTCCGTTTGACAAAGCGTCCGCCGACGTCATCCTGCGCTCTGCGGATAATATTGACTATCGAGCACATCGTGTTATATTATCGATTGCGTCCGAAGTATTCTCGGACATGTTCTCTCTGCCGGCACCTTCTGGTCATGATGTCAAGATCTCGGAGGGCATGGACCAGAAAAAGGACGGTATGCCCGTCGTTGCTATGGCGGAGGACGGGCGGAGCCTAGCCATGCTCTTGACATTCTGTTATCCTATTCCCCAACCCACGCCCAATACCATCGAGGACATCGTACTGGGCCTACGACTTGTGCGCAAGTTTCACCTTGCGCACATACAGAAGCCCTTGGAGATGCTTAAAATCATGGCTCAAAGGGAGCCGGAGAGGGTATACGCAATAGCGTGCACCTTTCAACTCCGCGACGTGGCCGTGTCAGCCGCACGAAGCGCCCTCCTCACTCGGGATGATCCCCTCCTCCTCCATCCCGAATTCGGCGCCATATCTTCTTTCGATCTTATCCGCTTGCGCAGGTATCATGTTGCTGTACTATCAGCCCTACGCCAGACGTGCTTGAATCTCAACTGGCTTGCGGTCCAGCCGTCGGGCACTGGCTGCCCTTTCCCTATCATTCTGCAGCAACCAGGCGTCTTCAAACACGTCTGCGCAAGCGCCACGTGCCAGTTTAGGGATCGACCTTCAGGCTATAGGGACTGTGGGGAGGGCGTGAAGATCATGCTGAAACCCTGGGTTCAGACATATTTGACCGCTACCGAGGCAGCTCTCGCCAAAAGGCCTGTCCCAGGAATCGCATCGGCCGAGAACATCAAAACTGAAGTGTATACCGGAGCTGCTGGATGTCAGTCGTGTCAAGGGCAAGCACTAGAGATATTGCCAAGATTCGCAGCATCGCTTGCTGCACGGCTTGAAACTGTCATATCTCAGGTGCGCATCGCAGGTGCAAAAACTACACACACACGTATGTATTAACTGTTCTCAGGTGGAGCTCGAGCTACCCTTCTGAGATAAAGGGGTCGTCGACATTCAAAAACGAGCTTAGCTTGCTGGGCCGGTGGGCATCACAAGCTTAATCGATTGGGCTATTCATACATACGTGACGAGTGCTGTAGCGTATTACAGAGCAATTACGAGACAAATATACGTGTGGCGTTACAAGATGCTACGACAGTCGCGTAGTCAGACAGCAGATGCAAAGCGAGAGGTGGTGGTACAAGATGTGCGTATCGGGACGCCAGATCAAGCTTGAACGGCAGGCTCGTAGAGAACACACTGCGCGAATTCGTTCTTCTCGATTCCCTCTTGGGTGTTGAGAATCTCGAAGACCTGCACGCGCGCCGTCAGTTAAGGGAATGATGCGAATAGGGGCATCTGACGTACTTCACGGGGTGGGTCAAGGCCAAGTGCTTCGGCGCGTTGCCAACGTTGAAGACGAGTGACACCAATGCAGGGCCCGTATTCATAGTTCCTGCATTCACAGTGAGAAAACGGGGGAATACTTCTATAAAGTAAGCGCATACATGTCGAAAACGCGGAGAATATGATGGACTTTCGTCTGACCTTCCGAGTGGACTGAGACACAATGGTTAGTTCGTATAGGCATGTGATAGTGTGGAAACACGTACTAGGAGCGATGTTACCCATCAAATCCCTTGCAACGCCGTACGCCCTATTCCACCGCTTGTCGTCGGCGTCAAGCGGGTCGCGTTTGATAACTTCTATCTCCGGCTCCTTTTCCCGTACCGTCGGAAGTTCATCATCATCGCGTACTGACGAGCGAATGCTGATGCGTTTAGGAGTCACAAGACTGGTTGGCGGGGTCGCCTCGAGAGAAGCACTCCGCGAAGGCTTGCTCTTGTCCTTGTCGCCGGCGTTACGAGTAGGCTTAGAGGAAGAGAAACCGAGCTTTTGTTGCTTCATAGTGGTAGCAGAGTTAGACCGGCGAGCAGGAGATGCTTTGGGAGGTTTAAGAGGTTTGGAGCCAGTCGATGTAGTCATGGTATGTGCTAAAGAACAATCGGCGCGGAATAGGGAGGGCGCCATGGTGTCTCGATTATGATCATCATTGGCTTATTAATACGCTCAGCAAGGCCTGTTAGCTCAGCTGGTTAGAGCGTCGTGCTAATAACGCGAAGGTCTTGGGTTCGATCCCCACACGGGCCATGTGACTTTTACCACCGGATTGTTCTGCATGCCTGTTTTGTCAAGGCAAATTCCTCAGGCAATGTCACCTATATTCTTTTGCATAAGAACAATTTTAGAACATCTGCCTGAGCCCCCGGACGGATATTTTGTAAAGTTCCATATGCACAGTGTATGAAACAGCTGCGCGCCGGAGCTTGCCGTGCGCTTCACGTTCGCCCCGAAGTGCAGGCTCTTGTCTCTCACCACCCCCATCTCCTCCACCACTCCCTACATAAATACAGATCACCTCGTACCGTTACACTCTGCTGGTCTGGGCGCTCCCTTCAACATCATATATTTTTACCGCATAACAGAGGCCCCCTACGCGTCGCCTCGGTGTGACTAGTCGCTGCCCGGCGCGATGGCGAACAGTACGAGCACTGTCCCCTCTCAGCTCACCCTGCCCAACGGCGAGACCGTAAGAGTTAACGGTACATATAACAAATCTGATATTCGAATACGTTTCTGATTTTATTCAAAAGATCATGTTTATTGGTGCCAACCTTGGGCTCGGCGGGACAGCGTACCGTTCAGCATAGGCCGCATCATGGAGTTCTTCTATGATACGTCCCCTGAACACGCCGAGTCGTCTTCGGCCGCTACTTCCTCTGCCCGGGGGAAAACAAGGCAACAGTCCGGTCACGACTCTCGACTCCGAATTCGGATTAACACCTACTATCGCCCACCGGACGTGCTTGAACGCGCCCCGGTCAACCCCGACGTGCGGTACCTCTACGCGGCCATCTTCTCGGACGTCGCAGAGCTCAGCTGGTTGCGCCAGAAATGCTATGTGCAACACCGAGATAGGATCACGGATTTGGCAGGTTGGAAGCGCCGGCCGGACAGATTCTATTTCAACAAGCTTTTCGACCCGTATGTCAAGCGCGAGTTCGAGGTGTTCCCCGCAAAGGAAGTTCGCAATGGTAAGCTACTCTTGGCAAAGCATATGATCAACTACTTATTGTACTACCAGTCCCGGAGAACGTGCGTGATGTACTAGTCGACCGGTACGAGTACGTCGTAGCGGAGAAGGAGGTGATACCCGACTTGACCGACGACATGCGTACTTGCGAAACCTGCACAAAGTGGGCGTCCGCGTACGTACATCACTCTTGCGCACGTGAAGTCCTTTGTCTGACCTGAAGACCGTTCACAGTCCCGAGTCTTTGCCCTGCGATCGCTGCCACAAGTACTTCCACTTGCAGTGTGTCTCTCCACCGCTGAACGCAAAACCGACGCGCGGATACGGCTGGACGTGCGCGGTCTGTTCTCGCGCTCGAGAAGAGCCTATGGAGGTCCAGACTTCGTCGCGACGCGGAGCGACACCTCAGAAGCCACGGTCGACTGCCCAACCTCACAATGCTCCGCGGCCCCGAGGGCGCCCTCGCAAGGACAGGACCGTCGCAGAGAAGGAGGAGAGTATGCCGCTCAGATGCTTCAAAGGTTGGCCGTGGCGGTATTTCGGGTACGTGTACGTTTCTGGAACATTCGATGGCCTTGTTGACATGGCGCTGTAGGTTGTACACACGAGCAGAAGATACGCTCGGTATGACACTGTGTCTTCTCTGTGGTACCTAAGCTGAGATATCACGTAGACGCCGATGACCCTATCTTCCCTCGCATGGCGACCCGGATAGGGCCCAAGTATCAAGCTGTATGTCCGCGCATTGGCAGACCAGCACTCAAAGGTAGGCCCAACTTCACTGAGATCAACGGTCGCGTGGCTCACCCGACTTGCAGACACGGAAGAGCGCGGCGAATCCGGTACACTGGAGATCTTATCATGCGTGGACAAGATGACCGAGCAGGAAGGTGAGCATAGCTGCTTCTCGTTCCTGACGTGATGCATGATGGCTGATGTTGTGTTCCCAGTTGCTGAATGTACGTTGCGCAATATGTTCTTTCCCCATTCAGTCCGGCTTATGACGTGTATAGTCGAGGCTTGCAAGGCCAAACTAGGGCCCAATGAGAAGCTGCGGTCACATGTAGACTGGCTGACCGAGGTCACCTACCGCCTCAGTGAGAAGTATCTCGCGAAACAGCCGATGAAGGACGCATCGATGAAGAACGTGTATCGTCAGCGGAAGGTCTGTTGACTTTCTTCTATTCCGAATAAGGCAATCCTCGACTCACGACGCTTCTACAGTGGAAGAAGGACGCGACGCGCTACATCGACCGCGAGTGGACACAACAGGAGCGCGTTGCCTTCGAGGACGGCATCGCTCAGTACGGGCCGGAGCTGCGCGCAATTCGGGATGAAGTCGGCACTCAAGACATCTTCGCGACCGTGCGCTTCTACGGGCATTGGAAGAAGTGTGTATTCCGCGGTGTTCTTCGGCATCCTGCCCCTTGAGCTGACCTGGTTCTCAGCGAGCGTCTCGGCCAGGAATGGGACTTGCAGCGGAAAGGTCAACCTGTGCCGACCCCCGACGTAAATATGAGGCGTGCTGGAGAATCAGACGACGAAGGCTCGTTCATCACGAAACCTCGAAAGGACGTTTCCTGTGGCGCTTGCCGCACCAAGGAGAGCAAAGTTTGGATGAAAGGCCCGAAGGCGCTCATCCCGTCATCCCTCTGCGAAACATGCGGCATGAAGTGGCGCAAGTACGCGGACCTCAAGCAGGAGGACCCTAAGGAGAAGGAGGCCGAAAAGGAGAAGGAAAGAGAAAAGGAAAAAGAGAAAGAGAAGGGCAAGAAGCGTGATAGGGAGGTCACCCCGGTGCACAGCAACACGAAGCGCGCGAAGGTATTTTACTTCGTTACTACGAGTTGCGCTCGTATTGACTGAACGTAGACTTCTCATCCCAGCACGGTTACCCCTCCTCCCGGAGGCAGCGCCCATCCTCAGAACCGTTGCGCCGCCTGTCATAAGAACGGGCCCGTCGGGCGCGTTCTGAAATGCACTGGTTGTGGCGTCAAGATGCACGCCGGTGCCTGCGGTGTCATTCCCGAGCACGGGCTCGCCAATTCATGGCTTTGTGATCTTTGCGAGAACGAGCGGTCCGGCGAGGCCTCCCTGAACACCGAGTGTGTACTCTGCCCGCCGCCGAGAGCGCCAAAGAAGAACGGGAAGGGTAAAGAAACGGATAAAGACAGGGATGTTGATTCATTCCTTCGCGCTTGTAAACCGACCGAGGGTCAGTGCTGGGCTCACGTCCTCTGCTCGGTGTTCATCCCGGAGGTCGCGTTTTCCGACGCGTCTCGCCTACGGCTGGTTGAGGGAGTCAGCACGGTCCCGCAAGAGCGCTGGGAGACTGTACGTCGGCGATACCCGCTCAATTTTGATCCGCTATCTGACCTTCATACAGCGTTGCGTGATCTGCAAGCGCGAAGGCGGCGCAGTGGTTCGGTGTGTGGACTGTGTGGACGAGTATCACGTCTCTTGCGCATGGCAGAAAGGGCACAAGTTCGGCTTTGAGATTCGCGAGGTGAGCTCGGTCATACTTCCCGCTTGGCTTCGGCCGATTGACACCCGCATAGAACAAGGCCGCCCAGCGCGCATCGATCCAGGTCTCGTTCAAGAATGGATCTGGCGCCATGCACGCTATCATCCGGTGCAAGGGCCACGACAACATGCAGGGCAACAAGGTCAAGTTCTTCGACATCTGTGAGACGAACGAGTTCGGAGAGGTGAGCGCTCCAATCCCGAGCATGACGAGTTGAAGCTAACTCCCGCTATCAGACTGCGCTACAGGTCTATTGTCGCAACTACAAGCAAGTTCACGTTGCTCAGTCGCACGGTCTTCTTCGAAAGGCGCAACGGCTTGACGCCGTCCTGCGCCAACCTGTCATACAGTCCAATGCTCCAAAGGGACCTTGCGCCGCTTGCAACGTCGCTGTTACGCCTGCTTGGCACCCTTCTCCCCGCGGCTGCTTCTGCCACGTATGCTGGGTCGAGCGCGAGAGCCATCGCGGGACCAACGGACACACCACACACCCTGCTCCTGACGCCATGGAGGTCGACGGGCCCATCACGAACGGCGTTCATGCAGCCTAAGCCTCACACACGCATCCCGATCCCCCTTCTGCTGTTGCTATGTTCATCGCTCTGCCCCTACTCTGTATATCAGTCTCTCGGCTCATTGTTCCCACCAGGTACCTTACCATTGTCCATACGTACGTGATGTGTATTGCTCGGATCTGCAAAGGCGCCGTGGATCTGCAATGTTGCGAGATTGGTTATCAGCCGGTTGTCTTCGGCGAATGTCCTCTCTCGCGTCGAATTTGTCAGTACAGGCAACCTCGTGTATGCTCTATGTTCTATACAGGCCTGCATTGGCCGTCTGTGTCCTCTTAATCTCTTGCGGTACCATTCGTGGAGTGCACCTCGGGCAGCAGAAGGCACTCTGACCGATTGACGTGGGTGGCGCGTCAAGCGCCCCTACCAATATAGGCGCCTCCGAACAAGAGGGTGACAGAAAATCCGCGCCTATGAATCGGGTTCGTCGAGGGGTCTGA